ATTCTTGCCAACTTAAGGCTACGAAGAGTAATTACCCAGTCCACGACAAATAACTACTCGTGATGAAGAATACACTTGTCAAGATCAGGGTGCACCGGCTTGGCTCGACGCTGTTTGTGATTTACACATACCATGCGGCACTACGCACTGCGACTCAGTCACCTCTCAGAAAGGATGGCCAGGTAGCTCCCACTTCTCACAGAATATAACTGTGAGGTGGATCATCAGCCGGGAAAGCAAAATGCCTTCGCTGATGCATTGTCACGCAGACCGGATTATGAGCTTGCTCATGTCACGACGGTGACGTCGTCAGTGACGAATTTGACCCACAATCCGCGGTGTATCCTTCGAATCGGTGCTATAATACAGCAATTCGTTATTCAACGAATAAAGTTGCTACCGTGCGCGCAATCGCGCCGACAATTTCTTGTCCGAGCGTCTAAACTCCTTTTCCCGAGAGCCTGTAGCAGTGCTACACATACAATTACCCGCACGATGAGGATTTGAAATATTGTACCCTACATGAGGCCCACGACACCCCACTTAATAGTCATCTCGGTCGTGAGAGGTCGTACAGCTCCATGAGTTGCCACTACCGGTGACCCAAGCTGTAAAAATAGACGAGTACATATCAGAAAATCTGTCTCTCTTCGAATGCAGCGGCGCCACTGGCCAACTTACAGGTACCCCCGGGTGCTGGCGGTCTATAAATTTGGACTGTGTGTTTGGCCTGCCGAAGGACTCGGCGGGCAACACGGGTGTAATGGTCTTTGTAAATCGCCTAAGCAAGATAGCTAATTTTGCAGCAGACTCGGATACCATCGACGGTATTGGTACAGCGACGCTGTTTGTGAATCGTGTTTCTTTGACAACATGGACTCTCGGAGTCAATTGTCTCTGACAGAGACTGGGAAGTTTTGGTCTACAATCTTTAGGGTACTGGGCACCAAGTTGACTATGATAATATCAGCTGACCATTCGCATACCGATGGTCAATCTGAGCGCATGAACCGCGTCGTTAGAGACGTTCTTTGCAGCATCTGCGCTCAGACGCCGAAGTGCTAGAGCGCCATGCTGCCACTTGTCGAGTTCGCTTTGAACGATGCAGTGCGCTCATCTATCGGCTACACACCGCTCTACGTGAACACGCTTGTGAATCCTCGTCCTCCGCTGACCCCGCCACCCCATGGCTTAGGTCTTGGTGGAGGAGGAAAAGCCGAGCGGTTAGCTGATGTCATTCCTCTCACTGTTCGTAAAGAAGTCGATAGCTTTTGTCTACCAGACTGAGTGTCTGACGACACGTTCGCGATGCGATGGCTGAAAGCTAAGACATACAGAAAGAATATGCAGATGAAAGAAGCAGCGGAAATATGAAGAATTTTCAGAACGAAGACCTGATTTTCTAAATGCTAAAAACCTTTCACACGTGCAGTCTCTGCTGTCTTTAAGATAACGCTTCGTCCACGTTTATTAATCTTTCTAAGGTCGTGGCCAGGAGAGGCCTTGCGTATACGCTGAACCTTTCGAAAAGGATGCGCACCCGCGATGCCTGACGCACCAATCTCCCACATTGGGAGCAACTCGCTTACCGAAGTGTTGCACTAAAGTTTTCATTTTTGCGCTTAACCACATAGCTTGACGCGACGCGGATCCGTGTGGAGAAAGGCCTATCTCATTTCCCCTCATTTTGAAGGATTACCTTTCCAGTCGCGACCCACAAAGATTTGGACCTTAACATTCGCGTTCTTACGGTGGGAACCATTTGTTATTGCATCGGCGCTCGGCTGAAGCGCTTCTGGACCCAGCTATGAGAATGCGCTGGTGAGCGATTACAGCTTTTGGCCCTTTAATAAATTCCCCGATTTCTTTGAGACAAAGACATTTTTTTTGCAAAGCACGACTCGTATCCTGGCGACAGGTATTCTAACAATGTACGTTCTATCATCGACAAGCGTTCAGCCTTTTAACAGCTCGTCTGTGAGATTGCCTACAAGTGCTACCAAGTGTTACGGAGTATTAAGCACTTTGCGAAGAGTAAGCTTTGAATCTCAGAGTTCGCGTTCACATACGCTCAGGGAATGCATACGTGTGTTTCTCCTACCAGAAGGTAACCCTCACTGCTAATTCGCTTTGTTATCTCAAATATTCATTTAAGTAGATGAGTCCTATCTCTAATGATAAATTTTGTTTTCTTCCATGATGTGCCCACATACCCCCTTTCGATTTTTTATTCACCATAAATACCGATATTCAGTACAATTACCAAGTGTTATCTAAATTTCGTACGATTGTACCACATTGTAAGACATCCAATTGTAACTTATACAGCTGTAATAAATGTTTGTTGTTAATAGTTTATTAATACTTTCCTTGGCGACATGCGTGGTTCCGATTTATCAGAAAGATCTTTGGTTTATGGTTTATTTTGACCAGGTGTTACACTCAAAGTTATATTTGTATCATGACTATCTCCCAAGTTACTTCAAATTTGGACTCCTCATAATTTACATTTAATTTACATGCCAGCTGGTATTTTAGAACCCGCAACCCTCGGGGATAGTAATTGCTGCTTCAAGCCATGAAAAAGTGTAGGATACACTACATAGTAGGTTATAGTAGAATAAAGTATGATAACACCCTCAAGCTTTTCTAACATGATCATTTTATATCGCTGGTATCAGCTGTATTTCTTACAGACTAGATGACACATGTGGGAGACCGGAAAGACAGTCACATCGCGAAAAGTTTACAAGCCAGTCATGCGGTTCATCTTCATCATGACTGCTTTCTTTGTGGTGAAGGCGGGCGCTTTTGACTTCAGTGTGAGTTCATTTGATGGTCCGGATACGATTAAAGACAAGTTTCTCTCTAAGACTACAAACGAGACCACTGTCTTCCCAACTGTATGGAATTTTAGTACTTGGCATCAGGTCAATGCGATCGATTTTGATAGTAAGAAGCTGGAAGAACGAGGTTTGTGGGTAAATGCTCAGGAATCGGTTGCAAAAATCAAAGATGTGTGGTCAAAGTTTCTCAAGGTACTTGGGTATAAGAAAAATTGGTGGGCTGACTTGAAGAACAAGCTCGCTTACAAGTGGGCATGGTGGCGATCGAATCCAAAAAAAGCATTTGAACTCTTACCTGTTGTCAAAAATAAAGGCATCCTGGAGAGCGACCCGGGTTTTCGTGACTGGTTCTATCGCTTGGCGCAACTCCGACGTAAGAGCAACAAAGTTACTGATGAAGAAATTATCGAGTTGCTGAGGGCAAATGGGCATGCCTTTCGATTCATTCCACTGTCTGTTTGGCTTAAAAAAGTCCCAGGTATGGACGGTTTAGCAGAGAAGCTGCTAGTAGACTTAGTTTTGCATTCTTCAAACAGCGAACGGGTATACAATGTATGGCTCGACGCTCGAATAAGCCCCGAAACGATATACCATTGGTTGGATCTGGAAAACAAGCTTGGTGCCACTCGAGAATTCGGGGAGTGGCTTGAATACATAGAGAGATACAGTAGATTGGATTCTGTGACTCCTTTCGGCAAGGATGACTTGATTCGATTGCTTGGGAACAAATGGACTTCCTTGCAATCAGATCCTACCGCATCCCTCATGCTTTTTCGCGGTTTTAGACGTGAAGGAAGTCTGTCAAAAGATGAAGACTTTCTTGAGTGGCTCAAGCACATGGAGCAGCTCCGAGGTCAAGGCAAAACAATAAATGACGACGAGATTGCGAAATTGCTGTGGTCGATGAGTAAAGAGTCCGATTTAGTGGAAATAGCAGTTAAGATTCGAGATGTATTCGGTACGACTGCTTTATCAGAAAAGATTTTGCTGGAGATGGCAGTGGTACCCACAGTTAGTGAGACCGTGTACAAACTCTGGTTGGGCTATCGGGAAAGTCCAGAGAAAATATTCTTGGCATTACGTCTTCATGATAAGGTTGGCAACACCTGGGAGTTTAAGCAGTGGCTTCGTTACGTTTACTCGTACAGGCGTCTTGAAGACGTACAGGAACCATTCAGCGACACAAAATTGCTCAATTTGGTGATGGAAGGTAGAACACCAGAGGAAGCATTTCATTTGTTTACGTCGCTGCGACAATATCCCAGCACGAAACCTTTTGCAAATACAATGCTGGCCAACATGTATATCAATCCCGTACATCGAAACTTGTTTTCTGCAGAAAGAATGGATCGCCCATTTTCTCCTCAAGATCTTTTTAAACACCTAGCTTTCGAACCTGGGTCCGGCTTCGACAAAAATCGGCTGTTTGGATGGTTTCAGGCCGTCAATCAGTTTTGGAACGGCGGCTTGTTTCACTTTGAGCAATTTAGTGTGACTCCTCATATGCTTTGCAGCTACGACGACATATATCTCCTGATAAAGAACAAAAAGATGGCAAATGAAATGGAGGAAATGTTCAAATCTTTGAGCGATGTTAAGGGCATGGAATCTTTTAAAAAACAAATGGACATTCACACCACCGAACTAATGTCATGGCTGAAAAAAGGAACAAGTCCCCGACACGTCTTCATTGCCTCGGGACCTCATATTCAAATTAATCTTGAAGATCAACTTTTTGCTCGATGGCTCTCGTATGTCAAGATTTACAGGGAAGTATTTAAATACTATAGCAACGAAGACTTGTTTTTGTTTCTGAGAAAATTTAAATCGACGAAGGAGATTGTTCAGTTATTCCAGAAGTTAAAAAAAATTCCGAAAATGAAGCCGATCGCATCCGCTTTGTTGAAATATATGAACGACAGCCCCACGATCAGGAAAGAAGCGCTGAGCTGATCACAAGTTAGACTTCCGACTGGACGCCTTAGTTTGGTATGCAATATGCGACGGTACCTTGATCTTTAATCTTCTTTCTATGATTAAATAAATATCTTTCACTTCTTGACGCGATGCATAAATGTTCCACCACATCGATTGTACAGTAACATTCACAGCGTTCGCTATCTGGTATTTTTGACCTAAAAAGAAAATGAAATAGTCAGCGTAACAAAGGCCTGAAGGTGAGCTGACTGGTGTTGGAGCAATTCCAAGTGTTGAATGTTTATATCTCCAATCTACACACTAGCAATTTGTCAGAGGACGACTATATCTTGAAGCTATCAAGGCTTTATGTTGCTGATGCAGCATAAAGGTAGCAGTTATCTCGGTTGATGATAAGGTAAGAGGCGAAGCGACTTCTTTAGCGAAAGACCGAAAGCGTCATCAAGCCAAACTGGCGCACGGTTTTTGCGTAATATTGATGACATCTACTCAGCAGTCAAAACGTCAATATTTTCAATATTTTTGTTGCAATGACAAATGTTGAGATCATTGTTTTAAGCAGCGCCAAACATGACTCGAGACAAGACCACGAAAGCGTGCAAGAAACTCGCCTTATTTCCACTCTCACCTTTTTCATTTATTGGTGAGGATAGCGTCAATTTTCAATAACCAGAAGGAATGTGTTGCGCAAGCTACGAGTGCACTGGTCAGAAATTAAAGATTGTCCAAGCTGTATTGGTCAATACTGCCATGATGACTCGTGATCGCCTTCAAGCTTAGTACAATGCTCGAAAATACAAAGCTTGCGATTCAAATTCAAATTTATCAGTATCTGTACCAGTCTTAAAGACCAGAACAAACATGTTACGGCTGACGCGCACAATGAGTGGCGTACAGACACTATGTGCGATGGATTTCACAGAAAAATTATTCAAATCTCTTCGGTATACTATGATGAAATAGTAGTCCATCACCGGGCTATCGGCGCAGGCTTTGCTTAACTAATGTTAAGCTTGATCACAAGATATGCCATACGATTCGAGACAGTTTGTAATCGACGATGATACCAAAGATGACGAGGTGTATGTTATCTCATTATTCGACATTAACTGCGCTTCGCCATTTCATCTTCAAGGTGATATCAACTCCAAGTTCACGCAGACTGAGACAATCTTTGACAATTTGGCATTAGAAAGTTACCAAAGTGGAGCGACTCACAGCCATGTACATATATTTTTTTTACGCTTTGATTGCAACGAATGCTTTTGCCAGCTCCGTGGTTGATTGTTGGCTCTTTTACCATTATGCTCTCAATGCCCGTTTCGTTAATGATTCAGAAAAAGTGTAGCTAAAGTAACTTGACTGACTAGCTTGATTTCCACCATCAATAATTTCAAGCAACATCATATAAATTTCGCTCCTGCAATAGTGTTGATGTCCCCCAGTCATCTTCTAGTAGAACCATCACCAAGGGTTTGCGATATGCGCAATCGTCTTGTATTGAATATCAACGCAAAGCACTACGGATGATTCAGGTTATAAGAGCGACAACATCCACACCAATCGTGAAAAACGTAGCCAGTTAACAAGGCGCTTAAACTACTTTTAACATCATCTCAATTTGCGATCTCGCAGGTTTCGACGTTTTTATCAATAAGAGGTCGCGTAAATCCTTTCGGTACCCTGCAAGCATATATTTACTGTCGAGCCTATCAGCACCCTGTAAGTATTGCGATCAAGCACTTCTAAATTCCTATGGTGGATAATCATTTGCTCGATGGTTACGGCACCAAACGCTTGGATTGCCCGGAGTCGAAGAACACAGTGTACGGCTTACAAGGGCGCTTCCAAACTGATTCGTTGAGAGGATGCACTTGACTGGTAATTTAAAGGCAGATTTTTTCATTTCGTTCGGACCTGACCATATTGAGCATTGTGCAGCTGGACAAGTCTCACAACAGTAGAGCATTTTACCAGTCTTTGTGTCACCAAATGCTTCATTGACAGACTAGTAATGACAAATACAAAGTCAAGACCACTTGAAGTCGGTACTTTGAACCCCATGTGCAAAATATTGCAAACCTTGGATAGAAATAATGGCAAAAACCGGTAGACAAGTTCCATGATTGCTAGCTATTATCGACTTTGGCCGAGCTGACGTGATTGGATAGCAATATTGTCATCGAAGAATGTACCTCAAAAAGCCTCTTTGGCTACTGATGCGCGTGCTCAATAACCCACTGACTGGCACATGCAGAATATTGGTGCCGACGCTAGTTGGTATAGCAGGAATCTCCTGTTTTCGCTAAGAACCTGTTTTTGAGATTCGAGCACGCTAAATCATTGTGTCAGGATTCGCTTCACAAAATACTGTAAAGATTCGCTTCGAAAGTGCTCTTTGAATGCGAGTGCTGTGCAATTTGTCAGCGACAAGATCCTCTTTTTGAGCACGTGAAAGGTTTGGATCACGATACATCTGCATGAGGCTGTGGAAAGTAGGAAAATGATTCAAGAGATACTGCGCCTTATCCTCACTTACACCAGGAATCACTTGAAGCATTCTGAGCCACGCATTGGCACTTGCGCTTGCTGTCTGCCCGTTATGCAAAACGCGAAATGAGTGGTATCGAGGAGCTGACTCTAAATCGTCTTCGAGAGCTGTCGAATGTGATGAAGCAACGATCAATTCCCGTGTCAGCAATGCCACATAATCTGCCGAAGCTTCAAGATCACACGTAAATTTTGTGTGAACGTTCATATCCATAAATAACTGAAATGCAACCTCGTGCAAATCCGCAAACGAAATCAATCGTGACGTCGCACTCTGAGATGTTTCTTTTTGATTCTTCTTTAACTGCCTGTTCAACGCAATCAAAGCTCGATCCATGCCTTCAATAATAACAAAGTACTTTATCTTTTCTTCCTCTTGCCATGGATTTTTTGTCGTCGGCACTAAAGTTTGAAGATATTTTATAGCAACAATCAATTCGTTGTAGCTCTTAAGAATCAAGCTCAAAAACGTGTCTGCTTTGTAATAAATAGCACAAGAATAATGTGAACCATTTTCATCTTTTCGCTCCCACCGAATGACACCTGGTATAATACAATTCAGCGAACTAGACACAGTAAACGCCACACTTTTTCCATTGTACATGTGATTTTTTAGCGCATCACGAATCTTTTGACCCACTTCTGACAGATCTAGCACTTTTTCCATTTGAACGATTGCAATCACTCCAACTGATGTTTCTAAAGTCCTTTCACCCGTAATTTCGGAACGAGAAGTTGAGTAAATTGCTTTATGAGCGACATTTTTGTCCAGATTACCAGCTGCAATTGTCTTCTTAGTCATTGAGTTTGCGTTTTCATTACCTCTATCTACCTCAGAGTGCAAGTCTCTCAATCGCCCAGATAACCTTCTCTTCTGTTTTGCCTCTATTCTCGTGGTATTGTCTGGTTTCTTTGTTATCTCAGGAGATAAGATTTCCGGTTCATCTTCTGACAAAATTACTGCAGTAGATGTAGATTCTGTGTGGATAGAATACACATGAGGTGGTGGAGAAGCAGACGGAGAGTAGGAGAAAGAAACTTCACTTTCTTGTTCGTCAACGCCCATAACGACATTTTGAGTTGTTTTGTAGCTTTGAAGACTGGGACTTGGCAATTCCGGCGACGTAGTCAAGTCCACGACAATAGAACGACCATCATTCTGCACTTTTACTTGTCTTGGTGGCGGTGATGGCGTTGTGAGCTCAATAACCTCATAGCGGCTTTGTTTAGAAGTTGCACTGCGGGATGTGGTGCATGGAATACCTAATTCTACAAGCATTGCGTCCAAAGCATGATCCTCGTCTTCATTATCGAGTGAGTCGCGAAGTCGCGTGCGGTGGCGTTTTCGTGCTGGGGTGCTGTTCATGTTGCTTTAAGAACATTTGACTATTTCAGTGTAGTTATTTCGGACCCTTAAACTGCAACGTCATCAAATATGACTTCGAGACAATAATATTCGGTGCCATGCTAGACATTTTTGTGGTTGTGTCCACAATTACATGTAGACCTAGCTGGTGCTAACAATTATTTTGCTGCGCAAAGTGACCTCTGTGCGAACATTTACTGCCTCTGAAGCTCCATCTCACCATCTGCACTTTACCGTGCTTGCTTCTCAATCAAATATGCACCAGCGGTTCTCCCCCGTGCTCCAAATCTAATTGCTCAACGAG